TCTTCGCAGACCCACCTGAAAAGGTTGGCAGCAGAAGCATAATGCCCGTGTTGCTGAGAGGGCTCGAGTTGGAACAGCTGAAGGATGAGTTTGCCGAAGAGACGACTCCGAATCCGATCTTTTGGGTCGTGCAGGTCCTCCACTTCCCCGTGATGAAACAGATTCCCTAATCTGGACATGAATTCGGCTTTCCGGTTTTGAGAAATTAATTTTCCAATTAATTTCTCAAACAACATTCATGTACAAAATATGCTTGATAACTTTGAGAAGAAATTTCAATGAAATTCCAAACAATTTTTTTATATAAAAAATCATCAAAATTTAACCAAAAAAAAACCTTAATACAACTCTAAAAAAGGAAATTCCAATAGAAGCCGCTGTTGGCTCAAGAGAAGTCTTCAGGAGAGAGCAGGCTCCTCTACAGAATACCCCGAGTTCGCATTGAACCTGTAAAAACCTGTAAAACCCTCCTTATTGCATCCCCGCCATGAATCTGTTCACCTTGCGAGAAGCTTCTCCCCCAGGATGGAGAACCTGGGGGTGTGAGGGATGACGCGGTGCAAGTTTTCTTTCAGGTATTTCAGTCCCTCGTCCACCAGGCCGGTCATGCCCAGGAAGTCCGCCGAGATCAGGATCGGGATCACCCGGCTGGCATCTTTGCGATCGGAGCGCAAAAATAATTTTAAAATAAAATACAGTAGATGATTGATCCAAATTGCCGCGTAGAAATTAATTTAAATATCATGTTACATCAAAAATAATTTCCAATAAATATAACATATCAAAGATATATAATATAACGTCATATATAAATATACTAAAACCAATCGATATGAACTTCACTTGAAAATGATAAATATAATGCAATTACACTTCAAATTCATGACATTTACCGAATTTAGGCCCAGCGTTCGGGTCGTCGGGATCCCGCCTCACCCACTCCATCAGCCAATCGAAGATGGAGACATCGCAATGCACCGTGATGTCCACTTCCTCCAAGTTTTGACCTGGAAGAGGAGCGAGAGGGTCTCGAAGGGACCTAGAGGCGACATCCGCGGTGGAGGTCGTCTCCAAGGTGGGGAAGGGATTGGATACCGGTGGATAAGCTGGTGAAGTACTCCATGTGCCGGAGGAGGAGATGCGATGGGATCCTGTAGTGCTTTGTGGTCGTCTTGCCGTCGTCCACGACTTGGAGGCTCACTTCTTTCCCCTCTCGTCTTCGCGAAAAAATTTCAGTTTTAAAGTTAAAGTGTATTAAATGTTAATATTTACGGCGATGTTTTTTTTTTCATGCGGACTGACGGGTCGAGAGGTCTCGCCGGGACGGGGAGGGCTTCTTCCTCCGTCGGCGGGGTTGCCTTGCCCTGCTCCGGGGGATTCCTTCCCCCTTTCGCCGTGCCCTCCAGCAGCGCCTGGTTGGCCGCGAAGGGGATGATGGAGTCGAGGAGGCGCTCCTCCATCAGCAGCTGAAGGGGGTGGACAGGGTTTCGACCGTCGGTTTCTCGTCGCTCTTCTTTATGGATTGTCGTGCGGAACGATTAAGGGGAATGAAGCTACTTTCAGGACCGAGAGAACGGAAACGGGTTTTCGCTTTTTTCTTTTGCGATTTCGGTACGATTCCGAGGTTAACCTCTCGAGCTCGGAACGGTCCCCATTCGAGAACGCTTAAACTCTCCGGTTGCGCTAACGTTCTATATTTTCCAGGGCTCGGGTTTTCGCTTTTTTCTTTTGCGATTTCGGCACGATTCCGAGGTTAACCTTTCGAGCTCGGAACGGTCCCCATTCGAGAACGCTTAAACTCTCCGGTTGCGCTAACGTTCTATATTTTCCAGGGCTATACTGATGCATCGGCCGGCGGTATTGCGCTATCGGCGCCATCGGCCATCGGTCTTCGGCATGCAAAAGGACTGTAGAGCTGATACTATACGACTCAGGGCTAGGGGAGTTAAAGATATTAGAGCTAGGTCATCAGCATACAGGAGGCAATGAATTCTCCTATCCCCTATGGGGGGTGGTTTCCCTCAATGTTCGTAGCTTCAACAATATCGTTGATGTAAAGGACAAACATAAGTGGAGAGAGGATACAACCCTGTTTGACAACTATGTTAGCCTCAAAGGGTTGAGACTCTCTCCAAGGGGACAGTTTAACCGAAGAATTTGTGTCCTCGTACATAGCAGTCAGAAACCGGACCATTTTAGTGCTAAGTCCTTTAGCTAATAGTTTATGCCAGAGTTTGGCCCATGAGATCTGATCAAATGCTTTTTGGTAGTCAATGAACGCAATATAAACTTTTGCCTTCTTCCCTTGCACATACTTAGAGATCAGTGTATCAAGTACAAATGCATTTTCGAGTGTACTAATACCAGAACGAAAACCTGCCTGGCATGGTGAAAGAAGGTTTGCTTCTTCTGCCCATGCTCTAATTCTTCTCTCAAGTATGTAGCCCATTACCTTGGAAAAGCCTGGTAGTAATGAGATACCTCTGTAGGAGTTAGGGTTGGTAGGATCACCCTTACCTTCATACAGAGGTAATGTAATACCTCTTTTCCATATCTCTGAATGTATTCCAATGTCCCAGCAGAGATTGAAGAAATTTGTCAGTGGTTCTATTAGTTCAGGTGTTAGGTGCTTAATTAGTTCATTTAGCCAGCCATCTACGCCTGAAGCTTTACCCGCTTTCATTACCTGTATGGAATTTTCCACCTCTTCCCTGGAAATAGGGGCATCAAGAAAGGAATTTTCTACTATTTCTTTCATGGACTGCCAGATCAAAGTTAGAGGGACCATTCCCATTTTGTAATAACCTAGCAAAATTTTGAGTCCAGACCATTGCTGAAATGGTGTTTGGCGGGTTTATGTAGGGTCTTGGTCTCAGGTTTTTAAACAGGGTCCATGCTTGCTGTGTCCTACGATCTATGAAGGCAATATTAATTTTGGATACTAGAGCCTCAAAATAGGTTTGCTTCTGTTCTTTCTTTGAGGAATAACCCATATTGTTTTCTTGCTATCAAGTAGTTTTTCCTGTAGTAGTCATCTGTAGGCTTACATCGAAATAATCTGAGTTTTTTCCTAGTCATTTGTCGTAATGTCTGGCACTGTGGGGTGAACCAAGTTGGGTGTTGAATTTTGGGTTTCTCTGGGGGCCCCCTGCTCCAAAGTGAGCCTGTAACAAATGAGAGAGCAAAATGGAGGGTGTCCGCCAACCTTGTGCAATCTGGGAGGTCATTAAGGAAAAGGGGGTGGGCCAAGTTATCTAAAGCAGAACAAAATCCAAACCTATATTTCCTTATGTCCACCACCTTGGCACTGACTGTAGACCATTTGTTTGGCATGAGTGGAATGGTAGTGCTAGTACTGTCACTTTGGATGTTTGAGTCGTGAGTGCCATTACTCCCTAGGTTGTATAGGACCGACAAGGGTAAGTGATCAGATTTGATTCTGGAAATAATACCAAAATCAAGTACTATGCCAAAAAAAAACCTCCTGAAGTTAACATGTAATCAATAGTACCGCAGCCATTGTCATTTATAAATATATAGCTCCCCATCCTGTCACTAAAACGTCCATTCAACAGATATAGTTCTGAGACTCTAATTAGGTGTCTACGTCCATCCTGCTGGTCTGATTTAATGTTGTCATTGGCATCTCTAGCAGGGATGTATCTCAAGGGGTACCCGAATTCATTATGTTCAGAGTATGCTGGTTCCTGCCAGCCTCCAATCCTAACATTTAGATCTCCAAATATCAAGAGTTCTGTGCTAGGGAATATATCAATAGAACAAAAGGTGGCAATGTCTTCAAGAAGGAGGTCAAAAAACTTGGCGGTCCATGATGGGGAATTCCTGGGAGGGTTGTACACTAAACACATAAGTAGATGCAAAGCGTTGTGGTTGAGAATACCCCACATAACTGTGGTAAGGCTAGAAGGTGAGTCTAGCAAACTAAAGGAATTGCCATATACATTCTTGACACCATACAGTAGTCCCAGTGAGGGTCTGCCAGGACCATTTGCCTTCTCACCTTTCTGGGCCAGTATTTTGTAGCCTGAACAGACAAACTCCTCGTCTACCAGCCATGTCTCCACTAGACTAAAGATATCATACCCCCTCAGGAAGTCCATCATCTCGGGGATTCCCATTTTGTAGATCAGACCGTATATGTTCCACCCCAGGCATCTGAACATTTCAGTGTCCATGGGGTTTGCTGGATGGACTGGCTCTACCTATGTATCACACGGGACAGTAAATTTCTGAAGCTTCTTGGTAGTCTTGGTGCCGGTTTTATGGGGTACATTCGCTGTTGCTGAGGGTTTTTCAACCAGGACCTAGTCGGTGGCTGCTGAGGGTTTGGTGCTTTGGTGCTCCATTGGAGAATTGAGAGTAGGCTCTGGGTCTTCTTGAGTGGTTCCTATTATGTTGCTCACTGTAGCAGACTTTCTCCCAGTGAGAGGCACTTGGATGACTAGAGGGTGGCCATCGAGCGAAATGGGGACACTTTGGCTAATGTCGAATTGATAAACCACCCCATCCACCACTAGCTTATCCTTACGCAGAAAGGCAGAACCCCCCCGCTTCAATAGCACTCTTTAGATATGGAATGAGCTTTTGCCTGGCCTGGCGAACAGCCAGTGAGAAGTCCTGAGAAAGACGCACTTCACTTGAGGTAGGGAGGTTAGCTATGGACATAAAGTCCCGTTTCCACTTCATTGATGAGAAGGATAGTATCACAGGGCCAGGTTTCCTCTTAGTTCTCAGCCTACGAACTGACACAAGTCCGATAGATTCATGTGTGGACCTCTTGATTTCTTGTAGGGATCCAGTTTGGGTATTGCTCAATCCAGCATGGATGATCCATGAGCAAATTATCTCTTGTAACTTGATAGTAGATTCCTCTGGTCCTTCAGGTAGACCGTGCACCAAGACGTTCTTGATTCTCTCTCTGTTTTCTAGATCATCTACCCTCACATGTAACTTCTCCATGCTGAGCTGCAATTGATGATTTTCTTGCTGTAAGGCATGAAGCTGGTCATCCATGACAGTCTGCCTACGCTTCATTTCTTGTACGTCTAGTGTTAGGGTATCCCGTTTGGAATTGATTGAGTCCAGGATGTCCAACTTCTTGCACATCTGTTCCCACCAATCCTTTGGGGGTCCGGACCTCGATTAGCCTCTATGGCACTCATGGCTAGGAGGATGAGAATCAGAATACGGCCTAAGACCGTCACTAGACGTTCATGACCATGGGATCCCGCTAATTGAATGTCTCTCGGGAACAACGTGTTCCTGTCACCAGCATCATAGAGTACTAGTGGGCCTAGGCCTGTGCACTCCATGTGTTGTGCAGCTACACCGTTCCGTTCTGGGACGTCGCGCTTTTGTAGCCTGTTGTACAAGCCTATTGCCCTCCTCCGTTGAGTTAGGCTAATAGCCATGCTATTTACTTACTAGAAAAGCGGATGACTAGCAAAAACCGAGTTGTTACCGGGCGCATGGAAAATACGCGTCCGCCATCTTGGGTGTCAGGGTTGCCAATCTTGGGTGTCAGGGTTGTGCTCAAAATATATTAGAGAGAAATTATTCGAGAATCCAGACCCTCGGCCTGATTCAACCGCAAACCGATGAGGACTTCGCCCAAATCAACACGCACATCTTCGATGATCCATGATCGAAGGCTCCTTCACTCAGTATGCTTGTGCCTCTGTCTGGCATCCTAGTATGGCATTTCCTACTTTTCTGCAGAAAGACCAATAACCCTCGAGATGAGATTAACAGACGATACGAATCTCTCGATTCTTTTATTCCCTATTGCACGTGACAGACGAAGAAGACCAGCGACAGACCCTACGGAGCCCCATCACATCCCCTGATGATTCTTCTTGGACTCGATGAGAACCCCCATGGCCGTCCTCACCCGAGTCTTGAGCAGGCTCCTCACGTTCGCCCGATGCTGCACCTGCCGGTGCATCGCGTTCCACTCCCTCTCGATCCTCACGAACGCTCCCCCCG